TGTAGATTATTCCCATGGAATTACGTTGAGCAAGACCCTTGTTGAGGAGGAGGCAAGAAGGACATCCGCTTGGGGCCAAATCCTAGCGGCTGCATAACTTTCCATCAAGAATGCCCAATCCACGGTGTCAAATGCTTTGGTGAGTTTGAAGCTTTTTGGCTGTTCATTGCACCATCATGTAGTTGTCATGTAGGCATCTTCCTCTTACGAACGCACTTTGATGAGCGCCAACCAAGCATGGCATATCTCCGGCCACCCGTGCTGCTAGCACCTTGTCAACCAATTTGGGGAAGCTATGAATTAAGTTGATCAGTCTATAGTCCCGGACTTCAAGCGCAGCTGCAGACTTTGGCAACAAATTAGTGATGAATGCCTGGTTGATGGGTGTCATCCCACGAAAGTCCATGTTCCCAAAGGACAGAAATGCCGCCAAGACGTCGCCCTTAATGATCAGCCAACATGTGATGTAGAAACAAGACGAGAAATTGTCCGGGCCTGGCGCTTTGGTCAAGCTCTTGTGTGGGAACCGCCTCCCAAATTTCTTTCCCTGTGAACTCTCCCTCAAGATGTGCCATGTCGTTGGTTGGCATGCCCAGGTCGCTAAGGTCTAGCGTGTATGCCCGGTCCGGTGCCACCCCAAGTAGGAATAGCAGGAAAAAAAAACGGTTCAGGAACCTTTTAGAAGGTTCCCTAAACGTATATCTATCAAAATGGGCCGGCCAACTACCAGGAACTTTGGACTGTCTATCTGCAAGTGTTAATTTCTTCATTATCTTCAGTGTGCCAGAATGAATATCAGTCGTAGATCGTCGATCCTACCATCCATGCCACTTCATACCGCTTCGTGCCTGACGAAGGACGTGGCAGACATTGATCTCCGATCCAACGGCACGACAGCTCCTGGACATCGCTGTTTGAAATCCGACAACGCCACTGTAGCTTTTATCTTTTACTCTCTGTAATGGCTATAAAGCCATGGACGCGTGAGTGTGAGACGTATCTTCATTCTTGTAATAGGGGAAAGCCCTAGCCGCCGTGTTCCGGCTGGCCCCTATCTCCCTTGTAGCTCAAGAACCCTAGCAATACATCCCAGATTTTGCCGCTACTTTCTGCTCTGAACTTCATTTCTGCTAGTTCTAGATCGTAGGAACTCTGAACCTTACACCAACGCAGTTCGATCGATCAGTATCCTGTGCGATACAGCGGAAGATAGAATTTATGACAGTCCAGCACTGCAATCTCGACTTGGCCATCTAGCCAACAATTTTCCCCAAAAGCAAATCCGGCCAACCATTGATTCCCAGCAAGTACAGGTCAAGAGAAAAAGACAATGCTAACGGAACAGCCATAAACTCCAGAAAAAAGAGTATGCATTGACTGACCAGGAAGAGTTGATGGAGTAGCAACCAAGGTACTACTACGTTCGTCCTTATTATACAACGCCCTTCTCCAAAAGAAAAAAGAAAAAGGCACTGAACGTCACACGAAAACGAGGAAGCATTATTGTGTAATCATTGAGGAGACTAGACTTCATTGCTCTTGCACACACGTTCGTTTTTATCTGCTTGCCACACCAAGCTCTCGCTTAGTTTTAACCTGACCTGATCACGGCCAAGGCCCCGTACGTCATTCATCCGCGTTAGGTTAGGTGGCGTCCAACGTCATGTGTGCTTCGATCAGCTGCCTTAATTTGATATGCAGTTCTTTCTCTCCTCGTTGATTGATTTTGAATTCTCTGCTCAGCATTTTGTTTTGTTGCACTCTCTAACCTTACCTGCCCAAGTGCCCGTCACCAACCAACTCACCATCGGGTCCTCGGGTCGCTCCACCTCCGATATACTGTATATACCACCGTCGATCGCCACCTCTCTGTCTCTCGCTCGCATTCGGCCTGGCTGCGCCATGGAGGGAGGGAGGAGCCAGCCGCACTCGCCTCTTCTTCTTCCCCGGAGGGTGCAGGAGATGTTCTTCGCCCACACGGCGGGCTTGCTCCATGATTCGCCGAGTAAGTCTTGACAAATTCCAAGTCCTGTTAATAAGGGTCTGCTCGGTTTCCTTTTTGTATTCCGACATGGAGCAGAAACTGCACAAGAATGTGCATACAAACATGGCATCATTTTTGTATGTATAACTAACTGAATTAGTAGCCACAAGGCTAAACTTTCAGTGACCAACAAATAGCTGTATAAATTTACTTATGGTTTCAAACATGCATGCTCCTGAAGAAAATTTAGCAGACTGGGACGATAGCAGTCAGGCCATGGGCAATGACCAGCTTTCCGTTTCCATCCTAGCATCCTTTCTGCAAAAATATAAGAGACCACTCCTATGCATGCAACTCTCTATAAGAAACCAAGGGGTATGTCTTTTCTACACTTTTTTCCCTTCCAAGTACCAGTTATTCAGTCTCTTAATAACATGACATTTATGCTATCACTAAGAAATACAAGGAATACATGGAATACTGAAGAATGTATGTTTTTTCTTTCTCAAATTAAGAAGAGGAAAGAGTGTAAAAGAACTCATACAAGCCCATTAGGGTAGGGGCTGTTACAAAGAAACACCAACAAAGATGTAGCTATGGTCACAACCCAAAAAAGGCACCTAAGGCCAAATCCCCTGGAGTCCTTTGGCCCCAACCATACACCACAAGTGAGCCTTATCCCTAATGTTCTGTAGGATCACGTTAAGGCTAGGAGAGGCCCCCTCAAAAACACATCAATTACTATGATTCCAGTCACCAAAGTCAAACCTTAGGACGATACGGAATACATTCTGTCAGACAAAACTTAGGAAGAAACTTAATACTTTTTTGCAAGTTTCTGAGGTGGAGAGACAGAGCCATAAGTTCCTACCAACATGACTTGTGCTTTTAGCCTCTGGGGTTGCCGTTGCTGGTAGAACTAGCTTGGAGAATGTACATATAGAAACTCCAATTTTTTCAAAAGTCGACCAATGTCTTATTCAGGAAATTCCATTTTCATAAAGAGAAAAACATGTTGTTTTCTGTTTTCTCGAGCATTGATGACGTAGATGTAGCTACTATTCATAATAAAAATTGGATAACCGATTCTGCTGTTGATTCTTGACACACAAATTTGCTATACAACCTTGCAGATTCCAGTATATCGCAACACATGCAAGAATGGCCAGAAATATATTCACCTTGTTTCTGGACAAGCACTCTTGTATTGATACAACTGGTATTTATCACGAGCATCGTGGCTCAGTATCTGTTCAAAAGAATCAGATGGTGCAGGCAGAGGTTGAAGATCACAACTCCTGAAAGCAATGAGCATTCTAATCAGGAACAACAAAATGCAGACATAAAGCTGGGTATCTCATATCAAGCAAGCAAAGTTTGTTGCCTGCTTATATTAGTCACTCATGTCCTGAGGATATTCCTTTTCCAGTTACAAGGAAAAATAAGTGGTTGCAAGTACCCACCTTTAGCTCTGGGTGCAGGTTTACATGTGCTATCGTGGATGATACTGTCACTAGCAGTATTCAGTCTAGAGAAGACAAAATCTGTAAAGCATCCACTCACAATTCGGGCATGGTGGATAGTTAGCTTTCTACAATCAATAATCAGTGTGATATTTGATCTCAGATCCACTTTATCAGATCATGGATATATAGGGTTTGCAGAATTGATGGACCTGTTCACACTTATTATCTGCGCTTATCTGTTTGGAATTTCTGCAAGAGGAAAAACAGGAATCACCTTAATAAACAGCAGCACAACAGAGCCACTACTGAGTCCATCTGCAGGACAGCAGACAGAAACCAAAAGGACAAGTCTGTATGGCAAAGCAAGCATTCTGGACCTTGTCACGTTCTCCTGGATGACTCCTCTATTTGTTATCGGATATAAGAAACCTCTAGATAAGAATGATGTGCCAGATATTGATGAAAGGGACTATGCCGATTTACTCTCTGATTCATTTAAAAGGATCCTAGCAGATGTTGAACACAGGCATGGTTTAAGTACCTTATCAATCCATAGAGCAATCTTCCTATTTATCAGAAGAAAAGCAATACTCAATGCAGTATTTGCAATTCTGTGTGCATGTGCATCATATGTTGGACCATCACTGATTAATGACTTGGTGAAATTCCTTGGGGGAGAGAGGAAAAATGGACTGCAAAAAGGTTATCTTCTTGCTGTTGCATTTTTAAGTGCCAAAGTTGTGGAGACAATAGCAGAGAGACAGTGAATTTTTGGAGCTCAAAGGCTTGGGATGCGGCTACGAGCTGCTTTGATATCTCACATCTACCAAAAGGGGCTCCGGTTATCCTGCGGCGCAAGGCAGAAGCATTCGAGTGGAGAGATCATAAACTACATGAGTGTAGATATACAAAGGATAACCGAAGTAATGTGGTACACAAACTACATTTGGATGTTACCCATACAGCTTTCTCTAGCAGTCTATGTTCTCCATCTAAACCTAGGCGCTGGAGCATGGGCTAGTTTAGCAGCAACACTGGCAATAATGACTTGCAATATTCCTCTGACAAGACTGCAGAAAAGGTTGCAATCAGAGATCATGGCTGCTAAAGACAACAGAATGAAGGCAACAACGGAAGTGCTTAGAAGCATGAAAATACTGAAACTTCAAGCATGGGATACAGAGTACCTTCAAAAGCTAGAAGCTTTACAAAGGGAGGAGCACAATTGGTTGTGGAAATCTGTAAGGTTGTCAGCTTTAACAACATTCATATTTTGGGGGTCCCCTGCATTCATATCCTCCATAACATTCGGTACATGTATATTGATGGGGATTCCTCTAACAGCTGGTACTGTTTTGTCTGCTCTTGCAACGTTCCGGATGCTACAAGATCCAATCTTCACACTCCCTGATTTACTTTCGGTGTTTGCTCAGGGGAAAGTTTCAGCAGATCGAGTAGCACAATACCTCCAGGAAGAAGAGTTGAAATGTGACGCAATTACAGAAGTACCAAGGAATGACACGGACTATGATGTGGAGATTGATCATGGAGCATTCAGCTGGGAACCTGAGACCACATCTCCAACTATAACAGATGTAAATTTAAAAGTAAAGAGAGGGATGAAAGTAGCAATCTGTGGAGTAGTTGGCTCTGGGAAATCCAGTCTATTATCATGCATACTTGGGGAGATGCCTAAGCTAGCTGGGACTGTGAGGGTCAGTGGGAGCAGAGCATATGTTCCTCAGACTGCCTGGATCCTATCCGGGAACATCAGAGACAACATTCTGTTTGGAAACCCATATGACAGGGAAAAGTACCAAAAGGTAATACAAGCTTGTGCATTGACAAAAGATCTTGAGCTATTTGCAAATGGAGATTTGACGGAGATTGGAGAAAGAGGAATTAACATGAGTGGTGGACAGAAGCAGAGGATTCAGATTGCAAGGTCAGTGTACGAGGATGCAGATATATACCTCTTCGATGATCCTTTCAGTGCAGTAGATGCTCACACTGGAGGACAACTTTTCAAGGTTTGTTTATTCAGTGTCCATAAACCCATAAAATGTGTTTATCTATGTTAGTATGCTGTTAACTTGACAATTTATTTCGAAAATTTAGTCGCATATGATTCAAACAGGATAAATCAGTTTTACTTATTCTTCAACGGTTTAGAGGCATCAGTCTGCATAAATGCTAATAGAACGAACTACTATATTATTCTGCAGGATTGCCTCATGGGGATGCTTAAAGACAAAACAATATTGTATGTGACACATCAAGTTGAATTTCTTCCAGCTGCAGATCTTATACTAGTAAGTACAAAAAAAATTGTTTTCGCACGCAAACAATACATACATATATGTTAGCATTGCTAAGATATGTAAATAACCAAAGGGGTACAAAATAATAGGTGATGCAGGATGGGAAGATTGTGCAGAAAGGAACATTTGATGATCTCCTTCAACAGAACATAGGATTTGAAGCCATAGTCGGAACCCATAGCCAGGCAACTGAGTCTGTCATAAATGCCGAGAGTTCCAGCCGAATTTTGTCAACAGAGAGCCAAAAGTTAGCAGATATTGATGAAGAGTTTGAGAGAGAAAACCACACTGATGATCAAATTCAGGGCATATTGAAGCAAGAGTCTGCACACGATGTCTCACAAGTTATCAATGAAAAAGGAAGGTTAACACAAGATGAGGAACGAGAAAAGGGAGGGATTGGCAAGACGATCTACTGGGCATACCTGACGGCTGTTCATGGTGGCGCATTAGCACCGATGACAGTGGCAGCACAGTCATTCTTCCAAATATTCCAGGTCGCAGGCAACTATTGGATGGCATGGGCGTGTCCTCCAACGTCTGCAACCACCCCAAGGGTTGGATTAGGCCTTCTTTTCTTCGTATACATAGTGCTATCTATAGGAAGTGCACTATGTGTTTTTGGTCGGTCTATGCTTGTTTCGCTTGTTGGCCTGCTAACAGCGGAGAAGTTCTTCAAGAATATGCTCCATTGCATCCTCCGTGCTCCAATGTCCTTCTTTGATTCCACACCCACTGGCAGGATCCTAAACAGGGTTGGTGTTCGATTACTCCTCACATCATTTTGCACTGGCTAGTCCTGCTATTTCCCTCTTTTTTTTACACTGTCTCCTTGAAATTACTAATTATGTACTGTACTTTGTAACAGGTCTCCAATGACCAAAGTGTCTTAGATCTGAAAATGGCAGACAGCCTTGGTTGGTGCGCGTTTTCTGTTATACAAATTCTGGGGACCATTGGCATTATGTCACAGGTTGCGTGGCCAGTTTTTGTCATCTTTATTCCAGTGACAGCAATCTGTTGTGTTTCAAGTAAGAGCTCCTTGCAGTGATATTTTTGCACTAGATTTAACTCATCCAAGTACAATGTGTGCATCAAGTTATTTCCGTACGCGTTGTTTTCCAGGAAGCCATTAGTGCATATTTCCTCCTTGATGATTTTCCACAAAGCACTGAATCCAATATTCTCCCTATGACATGCAGCGGTACTACATACCAACAGCAAGAGAGCTGGCTCGTCTACAACAAATTCAAAGGGCTCCAATACTCCACCATTCTGCGGAATCACTTACAGGAGCGGCAAGTATTAGAGCATATGGACGGAAAGACCGCTTCAGCAAAGCAAACATCAGTCTTGTTAACAACCACTTACGACCATGGTTCCATAACGTCTCGGCTGTGGAGTGGCTTTGCTTCAGGCTAAACATGCTATCTAACTTTGTCTTTGCCTTTTCTTTGACTCTGTTGGTGAGTCTTCCCGAAGGTTTTATAAATCCAAGTAAGTTTTTCATGCAGACAAGTTATAGTTGATTCGTTTTTGTAGTCTATACTCTGATCACTAATTTTTGGTGGCTGTGAAACTGACATAATTGAATGCACAGGCATTGCGGGACTTGCAGTGACTTATGCACTGAACCTCAACGGGCAGTTGTCATCTGTAACCTGGAACATTTGCAACACAGAGAATAAAATGATTTCAGTTGAAAGAATAATGCAGTACTCAAAGATCCCTAGTGAGGCTCCTCTAATAGTTGATGATCACCGCCCCCCAAACAGCTGGCCAAAGGACGGCACTATAAATATAAGAAACTTGGAGGTATGCATGATGTTACTGCGAGTTATCACTTATGGCTAACCACCCTAGATAAGCACATGCATATGAACATCTGTAAAACATAACACAAATTCTATCACCGTGGTCTGTTAGCCTAAAACACAACTTTTAAGTTTGAATAAACATATGGTCTAAACTCTAAAGCAGGTAAACCAGCTTACAAACATACGTTCCAGGGCAAAACTCACATCAGAGAAGCACATAGTTCACATACACATAGTTTATACTCCATATATTCTATCAGAAAAGATATTCTAATTAAGGATGGTACTATAAATATAAGGAACTTGGAGGTATGCATGATGTTACTGCGAGTTATCACTTATAGTAACACAAAAGGAAAGCTCTTACTTTTGAATAATGAAATGTAATTTCTTTTATTTTTCAATTTTCTCATAAAATATGTGCATGCTCAAATGAAGCCATTAATGCGACTATTTGCTTTTACAGGTTAGATATGCAGAGCATCTCCCCTCTATTTTAAGAAATATATCATGTACAATTCCAGGACGGAAGAAGGTGGGGATTGTTGGACGTACTGGCAGTGGAAAGTCAACTTTGATTCAAGCGCTTTTCCGGATTGTTGAACCAAGACAAGGGACAATTGAAATTGATAATGTTGATCTCAGCAAAATCGGGTTGCATGATTTACGAGGCAGACTTAGCATCATCCCACAGGATCCAACCATGTTTGAGGGCACAGTGAGAGGAAATCTTGATCCACTAAATGAATATTCTGATCAACATGTATGGGAGGTAAATAATTCAATTATACATGTTCTAATGATAAGAGAGTAAATTATATATCATGCACAGCAAAAGGGAGCCTAACACCTCATATTTTTGCTCTTTATTGCCAATAGTCCATGTTACAAAACAGATAGTTCTGGATGATTGTACCTTTTTCAACGAAAATATTGCTAACAGTTTATGCTGATAAAATATGATCTCATGATTATGCTAATCTATGAAAGGTCAAAATTGCTGACAGAGTACCCTAGGAAACATAGTTGGATGGTCATTTTTACTATTGCAAATACCGAAGATGATGTAATGTTTCATACAGATTGCAACCTGATCAAATCCTTCTTCAGATATATCTATATATATAATGAATGAAAGAACAGGAGATATTGTAAAAAAATGTAATGATTAAAAGAATGGAACACTGTACTTCCTCTACTGACCAGATGTATACATTTCTTTTGGCCAGGCATTGGACAAATGCCAGCTTGGTGACATTGTTCGTCGAAACCCAAAGAAGCTGGACTCAACAGGTTTGTTTTTGCGTACAATAGCACACATATGCAAGATTAACTAAGAGAGTTTGTATATCTCCATTGAGATGATCAAATGAGATTTCTCCTGCAGTTGTCGAAAATGGGGAAAATTGGAGTGTCGGACAGAGGCAGTTGTTTTGCCTGGGAAGGGTTCTGCTAAAGCGAAGCAATGTCCTTGTCCTTGACGAGGCAACTGCTTCAGTTGACTCGTCTACAGATGCAATTATCCAGAAAACACTCCGTGAGGAGTTTGGGGACTGCACGGTGCTGACAGTAGCACATAGAATTCACACAGTTATCGACAGTGATCTTATTCTTGTCTTCAGCAAAGGTAAGCTGCACCATTGACTAACAAAAAATATTCATCCACATTTTAGGACCTAGCGCCGCATCGCTGAAATCTGTACTCTTTTGTACTGAGCAGGAAGAATTATAGAATACGACACGCCGTCGAGATTACTGGAGGACAAAAACTCTGAACTTTCAAGGCTCATAAAGGAGTACTCGCGGAGATCCAAGGGGTTTTGACAGCACCAGAAACAATTGAACTGGCTGGCGAAGCCGACATGAAGCCAACTAGGCGCTCTGCAGAACTTGGTAGAAAGGCCAGTAGGCCACACACGCAACACCACACGGACTTTCTTCAGATGACAAGCGCGCACAGTACCCACCTAGAAAGAGACGATGGAATTTACAATGGATGGGACTAGCTAGATTATTCAGACGATCTGGAAAATTATTAAGCCATGTAATGTACTGTACTAGTACTAGCACACTAAGCAGCCTAGCACTATGTAAGCTGCTCTATGATGTGAGAAAAATAAGAGTATGTAAGCGATCCCGCGTGAGCTCTTAAATTTCCTCGAGAAAACGTTGTCACAGCAGACTAGCAGAGGCGCGCGCAATCGATTGTCAGTCAAAGAAGTAACTGGACGGAGTTCGCAACGGGGTACTTACATGCGGCGTGCCCAGCCAGGCATTCCGTCGAGCAGGTGGTGAGCCGAGTCCTGCACAAGGAGTTGGGCATGATCTGACGAGAGTATACCCGATCTGAGCGCAAGCATCGCACCCAAGCCGCTGATTTAGTTGAGACGATTTATTTGGGGCACTGGCTACCTTGCTGGGATTTCGAGCGGTGGCGGTGTGCCGCCGGCGTCGTGGACCGTGGTGCTTGGTGCTACGGGTTGTTTTCTCGTTCAGACCACGGTTAGCAAAGCTCAGTTTGGACCCCACCGGTCGGAATGCAATAGCTATAAAATCGCTTACTTTTTTCCAGACAATATAGGTCAACCCGTCGGCCGGCGGATACTGGAAAAAGATCCGCCACCTCGCCGACCATTGGATGGCCTTCTGATATACCCACATGTGCAACCTCCCTTTGCAATAGGGGTGGTGTTGCAGAAAGGCCACTGCAAGAGGATGCTTGTTGCAGAAAAAAGTTGTAACGAAGATCTTATTATAGAATTTTTTCGCAACATAGGTCTTGTTGCAGATTTGTTTTGCAACAGAGTCCTTGTTGCAGAAACATTTTTATTACACAAAGCCCTTTTGCAACATCGCCCATGTTCCAGAAAACATCAGCGATGTCTCAGCAACATTACCCATGTTGCAGAAGCACAAAGTCGCCATTGACAACGACTATGTTCCGATGGGCAGCGCCAACGAAGTTTCGTAGTGGTGGCCCCTTCCTTTGAAGCACTCTGATGTGAGCAGCTGCTCCTCAGTTGCAGCAGCGCAACAGCATGCTTTCCTGCAGCGGAGCGACGCTGATGGCTTGCTCTGCAGCAGCTGGATGACTCCTGTAATAGTTCGGGCTCATAGTGTGGCGTTGGATTGAGAGAGGCGAGGGAGAGAGAAGTTGGGGGTCAAAATTAGAGGGAGATGAAAGGGATAGGATGGGCTTACTGCCGAGAAATTTCTGGAAGAGATGACAACATCGTGTAGAACTATAGATAAGGTTGGAAGGGAGATGGAGAGGGTGGGCCAGAAGGGATGCGTGGTGAGAGCATAGGGTGGTTGATTTCCAACGCATTCATCGACCAGATGATTACAAGCGTTTTCCGACAATATAAAGACCGACCAACAAGTACTCCCTCTGTTTTAAACTTTAGTGATTTAAATGCTCTTATATTTCTTTACTGAGGGAGTAATTTTAAAAGTTCAGACCGGTTTTAGAACCTTCCGAGTTTTTTATTTTGTTTTTCATTGTTTCTCTCTATTTTTTTGGGTTTATTGGTTTCTTCCATTTTTCTTCATTTTTTTGTCTTTTTCCCCCTTTTCATTTTTTTCCATTTTTCAAACACATAATGACTTCTTCAAATACACGTTGACCGATTTACATATATAGGTTAGAAACGTATTTCACATAAATGTTGAACATTTTGCAAAATGCACATTGAACATTTTTTGCAAACACATGAAACACACTTGTGAACATTTTTCAAGAATGTCATAAATATTTTTGTAAAACATGCAAACATTTTGTTAGGTGTTGCAGCATTTTTTAAATGGTACACACTTTTATTATATGTTAAGAAAAATTATCTAAAACGGTGGGAACAATTTTTAAATTTTATGAACATTTTTTAAAAATGTGAAAAACATATTTTTTAAGCATGCGAACATTAAATTTCATGAACAATGTTTTATTTAACGTTTTGGTTTTAAAAAAATATGTGACTATTTTTTACCTTTTCATGGGCATTTAAAAAAATTGTAATGGTCATGTTTCTAAAATCTGTGAACATTTAAAAAAATTATGAACATTTTTTAAATGCTACAAACATTTTCCAAAAAATGTGCCAACCAAATTTTATACTACATAAACATGTTTAAAATGTGAGGTGGACGATTTTTAAAATTTAAGTAAATTAATTTTTGAAATGTGTGTTCTTAGAATATTTCAAAAAATGAGAAAAACGAATAGAACAAAGTAACTTTGTTTGAGAGAGAAAATAGAAGAAAGTAACTAGACAAGGGAATGAACCATCCCAACGACTCTCTAGTGGGCCGACCCACTACTAGGCCCCCTTGAGGCGACTCTATGTTGTAGCTAGCTAAGCTATAGTTATCGCCCCAAAAGAAAAACTGAGCTATAGTCGTAGAATATCATGTAAAAATCTATAATGTGGATGTACTCGACAGAGGCTCGGCTAAAGGTGAAAGTGGGTAGGATAATTTTCTATCAAATCTGGTAGCATATGCTATGGTAAAAGTTTGGAATCAGACGGGCGATCTGGAGCTGGCGTAGATCGGTCGTGATAACCCCCTATGTCATGGGGCCCGCGTGTAAAACAACCGCATCACCCCCTATTTCTCATATGTTATACATATTGCATCGCTTTCCTTCACTCGTTTGTCTCTCTCATCTCATCTCAAGATGGCAATAGGTAGAAACCGATCGGTTATTGCCCTGTCATCCTCGTCCCTGTGAAACCCATCTATGTCCGCTTCTCATCCTCGTCTGCGTCCCTGCTACCCGTCAAGTAATTTATTCTTGCGGGGACCCCGCCCCGTCCCACGAGCCGCAGTAACACAAGTGTGGTGCTCGCTGCTCATGCAACACATTCTATTCTGGAGCTTCTAACACATGTGTTCCACACTGTAAGAGAAGGGATGTTCACTGGTCCGGCACTGGTAGAAGAGCTAGCTAGTAGCAACGGAGGCGGACTTGTCCAGTGGAGGCAGATCGTTTGTGTGGAGGGTAGGGTTAGAGAGAGAGAAAGAGAGAGAGAGAAGAGAGAGAGAGAGAGAGAGAGAGAGAGAGAGTTGTGAGAGCCTAACTTAATAGGAATGATAGACTATTCATATAAATAAGGAATTCCTTCTTTTCCGGGAGCCCATTCGAAAAGAACTCCAAAGTTAAGTGTGCTTGTCTTGGGGTAATTCTAGGATGGGTGACCAATCGGGAAGTAGCTCCCGGATACACATGAGTGAGGACAAAGTGCGTAAAAAAGACTAGTGTTGGTCTGTGGGGTCAGTCTTGATACCGCCAGGCATAACAGGGCGTTACAAGAACATTGTAGGAAACTAGTAACGGGGGTTGGGGCTTCAAGGATTTAGGTTTTTAGGGTTAGTCTTCCTCTCAGTTAGGAAGTTGTTTGCCCCCCAAGTGCAGAAGTTTACTCAAGTGGATAAACTTAAGGTTTATCAAATCAATAGAAACGCTTGAACTTCATCCAATGATCAGAAATAATGTGCATCTATGGGGGATTGAACTCTGGTTGGCAAGGAAACAAGCTGAGCCCACCACTTTGGCCTAATAACCAGCTTACATCCATTGAGACTTTGTCAAATGTCAGAAGCTTAGCTTTTTTTGAGTGGGAAAGCCTCTCGATGATTTATTGCTTTGTCAACAGGGTTACATCATGTAAAACATAAGGCAATAAAAAGGATGGTGGAACAACCTCCCAGCTAAACTCTAACAGATTATCATAAGCATGTTTTGCAAGATGATGAGCCACCTGATTAGCTTCCCTGGGACAAAACTCAAAAGAGATACCATCAATCGTCTGGGCTTTCGCAAAGCATTCCAGCAAGGTTGCAGTATATGGACTGAACATATCAACCTCACCCTTGCATGCATTTATCAATTCCAACGAGTCATATTCAATGATAATATTTGTGCAACCCAACCTCTCGAGCAGCTCCAGCCCCTTCAACATTGCCAAAGCTTCTGTTGAGGTGGCATCAAGAGTAGAGACAAATAGACAAGTTGTACTAGCAACCGCTTCACCAATGCTATTTCGCAAGACAATCCCTACTGCACCTATACCATTATCATGGAATGCAACATCCGTATTTAGTTTGTAGCATCCAGGTCTAGGTTTTGTCCAAGATATTTCATGCGGTGCACTAGGGTGAGATGAAACTTCATAATTCGTTGTCAATGCTTCAATTGCAAAAGCAGTTCTAGAGGGGCTGCCACCGATTCCCCCCTAACCATTTCACGTCTTTTCCACCCTATATACCAACATGCAATGACAATTGATTCCTGAAGTCCGAGCCCCCCTAGGACGGGAGATCTCCGGGTAGGATGACACAAAATATACTCCAGAATTACCGAACCCGGTGTGTCCACAGCTAGAGCATTATCAATTACTTCCTCGAGGCCAAGAGCCACTAGTAGAAAAAGGGCCTAATGTGAAGCACATTAGTCCCGGTTTGTAACAAAATTGGCACTAATGTGATCATTAGGGTCGGTCCCAACGGCTAGGGGGCGGAGATCATTAGTACCAGTTCATGGCGAACCTTTAGTACCGGTTCGTGCCACGAACCGGTACTAAAGAGGCTGTTGCAGGCTGTGCTCAGGCTGGGGCCCCACCAGTACCTTTAGTACCGATTTATGCCACAAACCGGTACTAGAGGTCTCTAGTTGATTCATTCTGCAGCGGTTTTTTAGTCCCACCTCGCTCCGCTAACAGAGTCTTTACCACCTTAAATATATTACTTCTCAAACTATCACAACCACTTGGTATTCATTGAACTCTATGTGTAGAATTTGTGGCCACAATATGAGTCTTCTCCGG